TATTAATTTGAGTTTTCTGAAAACATTTGAAAAAAAAAATCACAAAAATCTTCGTATCTCATAAACTAAAAGGTTTTGGGTACTCATAATTGGAGGCCAAATTCGCAACCTATGGAGGTACCCTAGCAGGATCCCATTAATGGGTTGCTACGTTTAAACATGGTGAAATAAACACTGAATTCAGACAGAAAAACCAAAAAAAAAATCTTGACCACTGCAATATACGATATAGCTTTAAGGTGTAAAAACTCTTTCGTTACACATGCAAAAATAATACGTTGAAAAACTCAAATGTAGCGAGATAGTGAAGCCCGCATTCAAATATATAAGCTATTCAAAAATTAACCGATAGTGCTTCAACAACCAGGAAACCGAATAATCATCACAAAAAAAGATTATCGAAATTCTATGATAAATACAAAATGGTTGGAATCCCAGGTATAGCAATTATCAGTAGTTACTAGTGACAAAAACCAGCAGTTAAATTTAGATGAGCGTTTAACGCACCTTCGGTGCTTCGAAATTTTTCGACAACTCATGAAAAACCGCATATATTGGAAACAACATCTGCAAACTTTTAGTGTACCCTGACTGCATCTAATTACAGGGTTGGTAATTTCGAAGTTTTAAATTTAACTTAATGGGCCTCTCGAGACATTTGGAGGCCAGATTTGCAACCACTGAGAGTCACTGAGAGCACCCTACTATAGGGTTAGGAATCCAAAACTTTGTGAACTTTTTTACACCTGTTTCCAGAAAAAAAAATTGAAAAAACGTCTTATCTCGGAAACTGAAAAGATTTGAGCATTCATATTAAAAGGCAGGATTTGAGACGCCTGGGTGTACGCTGACAATAAGGTTAGTAGTTTCAAATTTTTTAAATTTCGTTGTAGATAAGTTCTTTGAGAATTTTTCAAAAAATCAAAAAACGTCACATCTCGGAAACTAAAAGCATTTGAGCAGTCTCTTTTAGCAATCGCATGTGGCAAGATTTTTAACTCTTTAGAGTACCCTGACAACACCGAACTTAAGCGTTGGGAGTTTCAAATATTGAAAAATAATTAATTTACACTTTCTAGTAATTTTGAAAAAATCACAAAAAACGTCACGTCTTGAAAACTACAAAGAATTGAGCAGTCATATTTGGAGGCAAGAGTCGCAATCGTTGAGATTACTCAGACAGGACCCAACTTCAGGGTTGAGAATTTCAGATTTTACGAAAAAAAATCATATAAGTTTTCAAAAAACTTTTTGAAAAAAATTACAAAAAACGTCAGATCTCGAAAACTACAAGGATTTGAACAATCATATTTGTTGGCAAGATTTGTAACTCCTCAGAGTAATCTGACAGCACTCAACTACAAGGTTGAGAATTTCAAAATTTGAGAATTAATTTTTTAAAATTTTCTGAAAATTTTTGAAAAAATTACAAAAAACATCATATCTCGAAAACTACAAGGATTTGAGCAGTCATATTTTAAGGCAAGATTCGCGATCCTTGATAGTACTCTGACAGTACCCAAGTACAGGGTTAGGAATTTCAGATTTTTAAAAAATTCGCGATCCTCTGAAAAACCCAACCCTGTAGTTGGGTCCTGTCAGAGTAATCTCAAAGATTGCGAATCTTGCCTCCAAATATGACTGCTCAATTCTTTGTAGTTTTCGAGATATGACGTTTTTTGCGATTTTTTCAAAAGTTTTCAGTAAACTTAAATTATTATTATTATTTTTAAAAAACTGAATTCCTAACCCTGTACTTGGGTACTGTCAGAGTACTATCAACGATCGCAAATCTTGCCTCAAAATATGACTGCTCAAATCCTTGTAGTTTTCGAGATATGATACTTTTTGTGATTTTTCAAAAATTTTCAGAAAATTTTAATGAATTATTTCTCAAAATTTGAAATTCTCAACCTTGTAGTTGAGTGCTGTCAGATTACTCTAAGGAGTAACAAATCTTGCCTGTAAATATGACTGTTCAAATCCTTGTAGTTTTCGAGATTGACGTTTTTTGGTGATTTTTTCAAAAAATTTTCAGAAAACTTATTTTAATTTTTTTTGGCAAAATCTGAAATTCCCAACCCTGTAGTTAGGTCCTGTCAGAGTAATCTCAAAGATTGCAAATCTTGCCTCCAAATATGACTGCTCAATTCTGTAGTTTTCGAGATCTGACGTTTTTTGCGATTTTTTCAAAAGTTTTCAGTAAACTTAAATTATTATGATTTTTTCAAAACCTGAAATTCCTAACCCTGAACTTGGGTACTGTCAGAGTACTATCAAGGATCGCAACTCTTGCCTCAAAATTTGACAGCTCAAATCCTTGTAGTTTTCGAGATATGATACTTTTTGTGATTTTTCAAAAATTTTCAGATAATTTTAATTAATTATTTCTCAAAATTTTAAATTCTCAACCTTGTAGTTGAGTGCTGTCAGATTACTCTGAGGCGTTACAAATCTTGCGATCCTTGAGAGTACTCAGACAGTACCAAGTACAGGGTTAGGAATTTCAGATTTTTCAAAAATAATAATAATTTAAGTTTTCTGAAAACTTTTGAAAAAATCACAAAAAACGTCATATCTCGAAAACTACAAAGAACTGAGCAGTCATATTTGGAGGCAAGAATCGCAATCTTTGAGATTACTCTGACAGCCTCCAACTACAGGGTTGGGAATTTCAGATTTTTAAAACATAATAATAATTTAAGTTTTCTGAAAATTTTTGAAACGTCATATCTCGAAAACTACAAGGATTTGAACAGTCAGATTTGGAGGCAAGATTTGTAACTCCTTAGAGTACTCTGACAGCACCCAACTACAGGGTTGGGAACTTCAAGTTTTAAATTATTTTGTTATTTGAAATTTCTGAACATTTTTGAAAAAATCTCAAAGATCGTCTTATCTCGTTAACTAAAATGATTCGGGCATTCAAAATTTGAGGCCAAATTCGAAACCCCTAATTCGATAATGAGCTGCTTAATTTAAAGTCGTTTAAAATAACCACTAAAATCAAATTGGAAAGACGAAAAAAAATTCTTAACCATTGCAATATACGATATAGCTTAAACATGCAAAAATAATACGTTGAAAAAGCTTAAACATGGCGAGATAGTGAAGCCCGCATTTAAATATATAATAGATAGATAATAGATTTTGAAAAAATTGAGCATGTCGGCAGCGCTAATGGTACTTTTGCTCAACAACTTATTAACCTTTTAAAAAACTACATTCCGATTTGGTGACGCTTGCTAGTCGAAAGAATTATTAAGGCGAGAAACACATATTTAAAATAGAAAAATGAAAATAACCATCAATCAAGAGCACTACCAAAAAGCAGTTCTATCAAGTGAATTTAAAAAAATTAGAAACAGGCCTCGATTTAGCAAAAACTCGGCTGCTTGTCAGATTCGAATATGCGGCCTAGCAGCCACGGATGCGTAAAATCCCCAACAACTAGCCACCAATAACGCAGCTACATATGCTAATAAATTGCAAATTCGATGCCGCCAAAAGTAGCACCAATACAAAAGACACAATTTTGCATGTGAAACATAGGAAAGTATAAAGGCAAATTATGTATAAATTATTTGCCTTTATGTGATTGCCTTTTGTATATGTGAGATACGTTGAGGTGAAAAAATTCTGAAATCAAAATTTTTATCATGGTACTGCTGTTGGAAACATAACTTTTTTCAGTTCATTTGAGAAATAAAAAATGCATCAGCTGTATAAACTTTTTACTAATCACATGACGAAGCATATATGTTAGAATACTGCTACCGCAGCTTAGCGATTCAAAAGTCCCACCAAAAGTAGCACTTGTATTTGCGATTCAGGTTGGAAAAAAAGAAAGTTCGTACTTATACACTTTGCTTCGCAAGTGTAATAACGCAATTTAAAAATCATTGATTAATTTTGAATACTTCATGAATTCTGAAACCCGTATCAAACACTTTTTCAGCAACATTAAAACAAAAATTTAGCTCAAGCGCAGCTGCACTTTGCGAACACAAGCGAAAAGGCAACAGGAGCCAATGATATTGAGTACAAAATTTAAACTCGAAATTGAGTTGGGTTAGAAAAAGGTTAAATCGTATAATATATAACAATGAACAACAACGAATCGTTTTTTGTCTGCAGGATATTAGCATCGAAACGAACTTCACAAATCGGCAGTTTGGCCGACAAAACTTGGTTAGACGCCCAGAGCCGGAAAAAACTCAATTATAATACAATGAGCTAGAAAAATATTCAAATCGAAATTATCAAAATTAACATATCCCCACCATGTACATGAATGAGTATTATCGATAAGTCTATGTAAGATCAACCAAAATCTTTATAGCCGAATAACCATTGACAGCAAGAAGAACACGAAAAGAAATATATAAAAATCAGTTTGTTTAAGCCAACATGAACATACGTTTCGAATAGAACAGAAAATTAAAATTCACGAAAACCAAAATTAATATTTTGCCCAGATAAGTCTGGCGAAATACTTCGCTGATTTCACTAAGTAACTTGAAAAAAAATAATAAAGTATATATTCCGATTTAACACAGATTGCTAATCCCACAAGTACAAATTGAAAATTACTTTTTGGGTACTTTGAAATTGATGACCAGACCTATTAAGATGACTAGAAACATAGAACTGAACCAGTAAACGCGATAAATTGGACCAAATTGCTAGCCTGAAAAAAGCTAATAAGCTCAAAGCAACCGAAAAACTTTGTGAACATTTTTCAACTTTAGAAAAAAAATCACATTAATTCTTTTTGAATATCATGAATCTTCTATGATGGACTCTTTAAGATAAAACTTAGCAAATTAGAGACAAGAAGTTAACAGTTACAATTTTGGTCGGCTGGAAACTCAAAGTCTGAAACTTGAAGTTATATTTTGAAAAGTTGGTCATTCACGTTTTTCAAGCCATACGCCCCTTTTTTGGAATATGTTTAGTTCTTGTCTTTCAGAGAAACCATGCCCTACATGAACTCTTACCGAGATACAATTGGGTCTGCTGCAAGGTTGGGTCCGAATCTTCCGAGGAGTCCCCTTCCGACCATGCCCGTTCTTCCCTTTGGATTCCTGGGTAGTCCTGTCTTGGGGTCCAATTCGTATTTTTTGATATTTTCCTCTCTACTTCTCCGGTCTATCTTTCTGCCTTCCAACTCATCCTCTTGGTTCCACTTGACATGCTTGAGCTCGTTTTTTTTCGACCTAAAGATCTTTCGTTTTAAGGAAAAAACTTAAGTTGACAAAAGTACTTCTAATGAAAATTTGCAACAATGCCCGTAAAAGACAAAAAACTTGTACACTCGACAAATTTCTTCTTTAAACATAGAGGCGAAGCGATACAAAACAATACAAGGCAAGAAAGCCAAAGAAAGCTAAGTTAAAAAAACTAAAAAAAAAAACATTCGAAACTGTGACAAACTTGATCTATCAAAACGATGCAGGCTAGTTTTGAAAGAAAAACATGCGAAGACAATAAAATGTGAAATTAGCATCGGAAGAAATTTTACCAAGTGGTAAAAAAAGCCGAAAATACCTTAGCAGAAACCCTTGAAGCCAAAAAAAAAATGAACAAGACTTAAGGCTTATCAAAAAAGATGAGAGGTTCCCCTGGCTCTCAAAACACAAATACAAAAATTTTTCAACCCGTCAAATGAATTAAGATGAGGCCACTGAGCCAACATGATCTAGGCCGAAACATTATAATCCAAAAAAAACGTCAAAAAATTTAAGTAAAAAAAATAAAGCTGAAAACAAGTCAAACACATTTAATGAATAACTGTATAAGCCCCCCTCAGCTTCAAAACACGCACACACACACACACACATTTTTTTTCACTCGTCAAAAGACGCAACAATATGAGGCCATAAAGCCGCTATAATCCAGAGGTGAGCATAAAAAATACTTTTCATATGACACGACTCAGCATTAGGCCACTAAGCCAATTAAATACAAACCGAAATCATTTGGGTAGATAGTTTTAACCAAAAATAATACCAAGTCAAGAAATTACAAACAGCCGAATTAAATCGAATCAGAAGAACAATTTCAATGTAAATTAAGTCAGAAAAAGAAACAATTAAACGATGTGGCAAATAAGCCGACAAAACATAAGTAGACAAATAATCAGTCAAATTCTAACTTTTACCATTGTTATTTATGAAAACATAGTGAACAAAGTTATTTATGGAAAAAAATTTAGTACCCGATTGCAATACCCTTGCTTATCGCAAGGGTAATAAAAGAATCAAAGATACTTGCGTTTACAATAAAAATTTGAACTGAAGGATGCCCAAATGATTTGGTTAAGCTAGTTGTTAACCCGAAAAAATTCTATACTCTGATTTGATAATGCTTGCTAATCGCAAGCAAGAACTTCTTTAGTTGCTGAATTCCAATTTTAAACTACGAATCTGAATATAAATTCCTTCTTTCATGGTTTGAGCACATGGAGCCGAGTTATTTGAGCCGAGTTATTTCATGTCTTCCCTTTGAGTCTGATTCTCGATACTGATTGGTAAATATAGTAGTTGCCTACTTTGTGATGTGTCCAGTTTGGTGCGTATTCATAGGTCCCAAATTGAAAAATCAGTCCCATAGACCCCACATTAAAAAGCAGTCGCATAAGTCCCAAATCTTTTCAATTGATCAAAAAACTAAATTAGCCGAGTCTCGGTTTAAGGTCGCCGGTGGGCGCGCTACGCCGCGATAACCGGCTCTAAATTTCGTATTGAGTCCTACCCTTTGGTGGCAAGCTCGCAGCACGTTGGCCCGGCTGCGGCGGTCACTATTCTGCAGCTTGAGTTTATGCTGCTTGAACAGTAAACAATGAATCCATAAATTCGTTGGCTCAAATTTCAACCAATCAGAATTCAAGAAGATAAATTTTGGGACTTATGCGACTGATTTTTTATTTTGCGAGCTATGAATATTGGGACCTATAGAAATTCACCGTCCAGTTTATGACGTGCCTACTTTTTGCTAGGCAACCAAACTGGCCACACATTGTACTCTCGTTTCGATAATTTTTCTTATCCTTTCTACTTCTCCGGAACTAATATTAGTTATATATTTATATAAGTATATATTTCTACTTCTCCGAAACTAATAACCATATATTTGGAGCTGGAGCAGTAAGCAGAATGGTCCAAGTGCAGAATGGGTCCAAGAGCAGAAAAACAAAAAAATAATGATTTTTGGTGGTTTATACGGGCTAATTGATAAAAACAATTAATAGAATCGTCAATAATAACACGAAAATGAATAAATTATGCATGAATTGAATAATTTCATTAAGTTTTTTAATTGAAATATTTAAAAAATCTTGATTACTCAAATTATCCATAAAATATTAGTTTCTTTGGTAATATTGACAATTCGGATCAAGTTAACATCCTCCCTCCCAGATAGACCAAGTTAAGATCTTCCACCCCAGCCTTTAATTCGCATTAAATTTGCTAAGCGCTGCATGTAAAAATGCTCGATTCTGATTGGCTGAAAATTGCCAACTTAGAACCAAGCTAAAATCCTCCCCCCAAACGGCTTGGGGGGATTGAGGATGTTAACTTGGTCCGACAATTCTTATACGTAATTTACCGATGCAAAAATTAATTTTATTCTGTTTTTCTGCTCTTGGACCCAATCTGCTCTTAGACCATTCTGCTTATTGACTGGCCACCCATATATATGTCTATACTTTATGACTTGTCTACTTTTTGTTACGTAATCAGTTGAATAAAGTTAAATGTGCGGTGGAGTGCGGTCAAAAAGCAGACAACCTTTATTTCATAGCGTTCTAACTAAAGGTAGACAAATACTATATTAACCAATCAGAATTGAGAACAGAAAGCAAATTCAGGACATTAATTAATAAATAAGTTTGCTTCTTGTTCTGGATTCTAATTGGTTTATATTTGTATTTATATTAGTATTTGTCTACCTTTAGTTTGAACGGTATGAAATAGAGGTTGTCTGCTTTTTGACCGCACTCCACGTCAACTGAATCTTAATATCAGCCATGTCTTCAATCTAATTGAAGTTGAAGACAGAACTCACTTGAGCGTGAAGTCTTCATCGGCCCACGGGGGTTTCGGAGAACTAGGGTCTAGTGTCGTGTGCAAAACAGGCCATGCAGTGTAGTTAGTCGGTTCGTACTCAAATTTCACCTTCCATGGAACTTTATCATCTGGAACATACACACGAACGCATTGTTTTAACTCGGTCTCCCAATCGCCTGATAAATTATTATTTGATACCGACGAAATAAACTCGTTTAACTTTTCGCACAAAACATCATCGTCCTTTTCGGAGTGTATTACTTTCAACTTGTCAACATAAACCTTCAAGTCATCGCTCTTAGCTATACTTTTTGTGAGTCGTTTAGGCACTGAATCGTCTGCTGAATTCTTGATAACGTAGTCGATTTCATCCATCAGTTCTTTAGTAAACATTCGCACGTAATAGTTCAATTTGCGGGCACTCTGATGTAAGGGAACCATTTTCATACTAACAAAAATATAAACTTTCCAAAATTTAGGTTTCAAACCAACACGGAAAATAGCTTGATTTCACTTCATAATGTTACACAATAATGTCTGAAAGAAAATAAGCTGAATAGTTAATCATTCTTAAAACACAGTTTGTTGATTAAATAACAAAGGTCTGCTTTAAACCAATATGCGAACTGACACAGCCTTTCGTTATAACTTACAAAATTAAACGTCATTTGGTATCTAAAACAACGCATGTGTACTTCTACAACAAAGTGAAACGTAGTCTTTTATGCGTGTTTAAACGTCACACCATACCAGGAGCCTAATTAACTTCATGTTTTTTGTTCCGACACGTATCAGGGCGAAGTCCTGAATGTTCCGCCTGCATTTTAATTGCTATTGAGTAGTTTAATTTAAAATAATTGATGAATTTTGCAAAGAGGAAAAAGTTTCTAAAAATTTTTGTTTGAGGTTTTCTACTACACGCTATGTAAAGTACAGTGTTGATTTAAATTATCCGGACAAAATGAATAAATTTTGAAGTTTCAAACAATGTTTTTCTCAAACTGCGCTAAAATTTGACAAAAATAGAACAAGACAAATTAGCTTAAAATTTCATCAAAATTAATATGGTGCAATTTTTTCTCCGAAATTCGCAACCAAAATTTACCCCAAAAATGGGTCACTTAGGGTTTTTCTAAATTAAAAAATTACGCTGAAACTGCTTTATTAATCGATAGGATAGTTATATCACAAGAAGCCTCCTACACGGCCCAACAAAGTTCTAAAAGGGTTAAACCTCCAAAAACCCATGTAAGAGAAAACATTTTTGATTGATAGTCAAGAAAGGTGATTTTTTACTATATAAAATTCAAAATCTTTGCTTGAAAACAAATTTTGGACAATTTAGTCAAAATTTTGGAGATTTAATCCTTGTAGAACTTTGTTTGGCTGAGTAGGAGGCTTCTTGTGGTATAATTAACCCATCAATTAACAAAGCAGTTTCAGCGTAATTTTTGAGTTAATTAGAAAAACCCTAAATGACCCATTTTTGGGGAAAATTTTGGTTGAGAAGTTTGGAAAAAAAATTGCAACATAAAACTTCTGATGAAATTCTAAGCGAATTTTGTCCTCTTCACTTTTTGTCTAATCCTAACGCAATTTGAGAGAAATGTGTTTGAAAACTCAAGTTTTGTTCGTTTTGTCCGTATTATTTAAATCAGCACTGTGCAAACTGATATATTTTGCATATAGCAGAAGATTGAATAGACCAAAAAACATGCTTCAACCCAATTTGGAACGATTTCTAAGACAGATTGAATCTCCGCTTACGCGTTAATAGCACGAATTATATTGCACGTTGATTGTCCCAAATTGGCAATCTTTATATTTACAGAAATATATATTTTTAAAATTTACAGTTGCTTAACGTGTTTTCACTTTTTCCATTTGCCTTACGTGTTATTATGGCTACATGCGTGATTTTACGATGTAAGGTATGAAGAACTTATTAGTTTGTTCACCATACAAAATTTCATTACATTATAAGAGCTTGAAAATAGTTTTTCAACATTAAAATTCAAAGTGGGGGGAAAGTTGAAAAGCGCCAAAAGTTGTCTGAAGAAAAGCAGCCCGAGCACAAATAATCCTTCATTTTTTGTATACACGAAAACTTTTTTAGAGTTCGTTCCTATATTGCAAAGAAACTTCGAAAGAAAAAACCAACTCAGGGAAAGAGCTAAAATCAGAGGTATACTATCTTAAAGCCTTCTGTTCTGAGCATAAATAGATAATCACTTACTTTTAAAAAATGGCTGAGTGCAGGGCCGGAATCAGGGGAGTTGTTTACATTAAACTTTTTACAATCCATTAGAAATTATTTTGACACCAAAACTACACAAAAAAAGTGGACTGATCAGATAACCGAAACCGTTTCTTCGAAAAAACTCGAAGAAAAAACTATTCAAAATCAGAGTTGGCAAATTTGCAACTACAAAACAATATTCAATTGATGTAAAGACTATAATATTACACAAAAGCAAATGGATTTTTACCGCCATACTCGTCGTGTTTAACACAAGAAATACAAAAAACAGACATTTCGAATAATTCAGAGTTAATTAATTATTCAATCACATAAGCACCCGTGGCACAAGATTAAAATACGCGATTAGTACACCAGGGATCATGGGTTCGATTCAAGGCGCCAGCCGCGAAAATCAAGAAGGGGTAATGAGGGAAGGAAATTGGGCAGTATAAAGAACGAAAAAGTACTAAAGCTTAAGTTAACACAGAGGTGAAGCAAAGCGATAGAACAATGAATGAATCTCACTACTTGCAGATGAACTGACAAACCGAACAATAAAATACTTTATAAACCTTTTTCTTTGAAAATTACAAAAAGAAATCCGAATTCTTGGAACTGAAATAACTGCATCTTAAATAATTTTACAAAGAGAGGCGAAGCTTCGCGCTACACGCGATAAAACCCTTACATAGCAGGACAAACTAATTGACAAATCATCAAGATTTTCCTCTCCCATATAAAAACCACAAAGGCAATCGAAAACATAAAAAAGCTACAGTTAATGATGCATATTATATTTCGCGGAGATACTAGGGTATTGAACAAGCAAAAACCATAAAATCGCAACAGAAAATCTGAATTGCGCCTTGAAACAGTTTTCAAGCCTCTAATTAGACGGACTTCAAAGAGCTTTGTTATAATGAATACTCTCGACAACCAGCCAAAATTAGACCTCCAAAATACTATACACGCCTTGAAAAAAAGTAAGGCGCTTTTATTTTCAAGCATGCTCAAACCACCATACAACTGCAAAAAAAATACTGAACTAAAAATACTTACAACATAATTCGCCTTTTTCTCGAAAAATTCACATTATTTGTCGACAATGGAACTGTTTGAAATCCGACCTACGACTGAAAGGGCTTTCATTTACACACCTGTTTTCAAGTGCCTGAAAACTTGGGAACAAACCAAGGCTAAACTATGGCTCAATTTGACACTTATTTCAAATAATTGAACAGAAAGAAAACACACGGAAAACCTACACAATGCATACACAAAGAGAGGTGAAAACATATTTGAAAAACACAAGAAACGGCTAAACGGGGCCCTTGAAATTCGAGAACAAAACGAACCAACACTTTTTGTAAATTAAGAAATTCAAGCAAGCAGCAGTGAAGGTCATTTGTTCAAACGGAATTATAACTCAAAATGTTTGCTAATAGAAACTAATAGTACACGAACAAACAGGCCAAAAAAAGAACACAAAAATTGCGAATTTGTTGAAAAAGAAAACATATCTTATAAGAAACCTGAGTAGAAACACCTTTGCTCAAAACTTTAGCAGATGATAAGCTTTGGTGTTCGTTGAAAGATGTGGAAAATTTCGTAAAATACAAAAAAGCAATCAAATCGCTGGAAAACAGTCAACAATTCAAAGCAGCACAAAATTTTTTTTTCGAAATTTGAATTATATAGAACCAGGGGTGGATCTAGGTTTTTCTCAAGCGGGCACACATTTTCAAAATTTTTATCGACCTCATTTTTAGCTCGACCACGTTGATTTTCCGAGCGGTCTCAGAACACTAAAAAAACCTAATTTTAACAGAAAATTTTTGAGAAGTTCAAAAATGCTGTTTTTGTGCACTTTTTAGAAAATTTTCTTTGAAAGTTTGCGGTTTTCAGCGCGCGCTCCTTTTCAAAATTATTATATATTGGCCACAAAAGTGCCTTTAGAAAAATTTAGGGGGGTTGGTCGGCCTAAAATGCACGTCATAAAATAATACTAAAGGGGGACCCTTTGGTTGTCGAGGGGGACGAATCCCGGGGAGGGGGGGGGGGACGTCAGAAACTTTTAAAGACGTTTAGAAAAATAAACAAAAGCCATATGAACTAAATATTGGACAAATAGTTTCAATCATCAACACTTAAAATCCATTATAACAAAAATGATATTTGAAAACAATGAAAAGAAAATCGAAATACAAATAGAAAACAAAAGAAATCAGATAATGAAAAAAAAATTACTTCAGGAAGGTAAAAAAGTCAACATATTTTTTTACATTCTACGAAGTCATTATTTCCATTTAAAATAGAATTCTTCGAAGCACAGGAAAAAATCTAGCCCAATCACAAAAACAATTGCTGATCGGAAGTTTCATTAAGATGGATATCGATCATGCAACGCATTTGAAAAAACCAGATCAATGTGTACTTTTTGCATACTTTATAGAAATCAAGTGCCTAAATCATAATAACGATTCGAGCTGCATCAAATACATTCAATTCTTTCTCATAACTAATGGATTGAGATGATTAAAAGAAGTTTCGATCAAAAATCACAAATCAAAATGAACAAGGTATTTTGCTAGAAATAAAGGCACCAAACAAACTGCATGCTCATCAGTAATTTGGGGGTATCAAAAGGCCCAATCCATTGATAGCTATACACTAAGATCCAATTTTCAAACAATTACATCAAAAAAAATTGCAGAAAACTTAGAAAAACTCTGGAAGACTATGAACTTGAAGAGCATTAACTTACCTTAATTACAAAAATAATAATAAACATGGAGCCTATACGAAACGGTAATAAAGCTGAACTATGAGAAATATAGATTACAATAAAAAAGACGCCCATTAGGTAAAAAACACAAAAAAAAGATCATTTTTTTTTCAAAAGTTCAACAAAAAAGAACCACACTACTGAATCTCGCGCGACACTAATCAAATACCATCGTAGACAATACAGACAAGTCAAAACTTCAAAACAAACTTTCGTGAAATTTTCGAAATTTTCGTTCGCGAAATGTGAAACATTAAAACAATACGCTGTTCCATTGCCTTGAATTGATTTAAATTGAAGCTTCTGTGCAAGAGCCTAATTCTGATGCACATAAATTCAAATTCATTGCTCATCAGAAACCGTATTCAAAAAAACTGGAAACCTATAGCAACAATAAGCTTTCTCCTGCAAAATCGTTAACTTTTTCTTCTTTTCAAACAGAAAAACTCAGCGTGTATAAATATCCAAAACCCATGAAAAAAATTTCGGCTCCTTAAAATTAAATCGAAAAATAAATTTAAAACTAGTTAATGAAGTAAAAACACCTAGGCAAGAAAGCCGAACGAAATCCATAGAGCCGACAAAAAAATCTTTTAATATCTGAGAACATTTTTCCAGTTGGAGACTCAGCATCACTTCAGTTCCTCCAGGCCCAGAAAAACAGCTGTTAAAGCTGCACCTTGACTAGCACTAGAGATTCTGAAATCGAAGATCCTCTTAATGGTAATTACGGGAGAAAAAAAGCCCAAAACCCGTCTACAATGCTCTTGCTTATCGCAAGGGTAAAAGCAGGATAACCCACAATGCTTAGCGTCCAGGAAATCAAAAAGGACAGAAACATCCGACCACAATAAGTGCAGAAAAGAAAAAACCAGATTTTTTTTCGTTTTTATTTTTTGATCTAAATTTTTGTAATTTTGTGAGGCAAAGAACAGTCGAATTTCTTAAAAAGCTACAAAACACCTAATACTGCAGGAGGCTGTATAAATCGCCCTAAAAGTGATATGAGAATAAAGTATCTTCGTTCTTTTGTAAATTTTGGTCATTTAGTCTGAAAAACTTAAAAAAAAATTAGACCTATTTTCTCGACACTGGCACAATAAATTTGGACATTTTTGATTGGAATCCCAGTAACGAATAATAGAAATTAAATATGAAACCAGGCTTGACTCCCTAACAATTTTCCCAGAAGTAACTTATTTCGGCCGAAAAAAAAAACACCCTCTGAAGTTGTTGGAACAAACATACAAAAGATCGCAACAAAACAAAAACGTTTCATGTTCTCGCATCTGGTCAATTTTTGACCGGTTAAGTTCTTCTAGCTATCAAAATTAATTTCTAAGGAGTACATTTTACGCACAGACAAATAAGCCCAGCTGGTTACAAAACAAAGCTAATTGACAAATAGAACATTTACTCATTTGACTTTTTCTAACTGACTATTTGAATTAAGCTAGATGACCTTTTTTTAATATGTTTAAAAGCACTTCAAAAGTTATTGAAACTACGATTTAATTAAAAATAACTTCAAAATTTGAATATATACTAGTAGTGTTTTAGACAAAATCGTCTCATTAATCAGAGAGATTCAATAAGATAAATAAACAGCTCAACAGATAAAAACAATCAAATAAATAAAACAGTTAACATATCGAGACAAAAGCATCAAACCAAAATTCGTCTTTTTATTTATAAAGAGAATTTGCAATTTAACTCTAAATGAAATGGAAAATCAATCTGGCTGTGAGCCGAACCATAGTAACCATTGCGACATCTCTTCTGACATACCAATTCATACCAACTCTCACAAAACGACGCAAGACGTCTAAAACCGTGCGCACCATTACTTAAAATGAGCAACAGTATGTCACGCCATAACTTAAAAATGTCAACAATTTGACTAACATCTTAACTGACAGTTTTCAGTGGTTTCTATGGAACAGTAACAGATTTCGCTGCAATTTGCAATACTTCCGAAAAGATGACAAACGTGAACAAGTAAATCTCTTCACGTTATATCAAACGTTCTTTTCACATTTCCAGGTGAGTAAATTTTTAACCTCTATTTTCGGCCGGAAATGGTGGCAGATGAACGTAGGTAAACATTGACAGTCACAAAAGCCGCACGTCATTTCTTTCCACCAACACAAATTGATTGTAGTTTTTTAAATCCTGTTTGCATAATTCCTTATTTTCACCGCACGTTTTTTATTTTGTTGGCATTTTTTTAGAGACGCAGAATGAAACATTGTGGAATAAAATATTAGTTTTGAGCCGTTTAGAAAATGAAATCCGCTTGTTTGCGCCGTTACTGAAGCCTTAAAGCGCAACCATGTCAAAATTTTGCCATGTAAAAAGTAACGCTGTATGCCTACCTACTTAATACACTTAAAATGTAGATATACCAACAGCTAAAAAGACACCAAAAACAACGTGCAAAAAGATATATTTGCATTCAAAAAATCTGATAAACAACGGTTTTTTCTTCACTAAATACGACGCGCAGTCAGCGAAACGAAAAATCAGTTTTTCTCTAGCTAGCATTAAAAAAAACAGTTTAATAATTGAAACTGGTTTGGAAGCAAGAAACGATTATTACTGTTCGATAATTATTCCGCTCAAATTTGGAATGGCAAAACCGATTACTTCAATCTTGTCAATTCTTACCAAAACGAGTCAGCACCTTCGTCTAGATTAATATAATTGGTTCAATCATTCTAATCCCGGATTTATTAATGCGAGATCAGATATTTCATAGAGTTACTGACGGCTGTCTGCCAAGTAGAGCCCTTTCAAGGCAATGATTGGTGCCGTCTTTCATTCATTAAATTACCTTACAATTCAGAGGCTCGTAATTGAAACTTGCTTGCGCACGATTTAACTTCTTTTATATCATTTCTTACTTATACACCAAACAATCATAATTTTACTAAGTGAGAAAAGTTCATACCTCATTCATAGATCTTCAGTTTTCACTTATTTGAACAGTCAGTTTGCTTTACGATCGGTTATACTTGCAACTGATGCAAAATTAATGTTGAATAATTTAATTGGCCAACTAAGTAAACACACCTATGGCAAACGATACTAATACCAAAACATCAGATTCCTTAGTGGACAGAAAGAGTTCATGTCACAACGCAATGTGGAAAAACAATCATCAGAAATCGAGATCCGACATCGCAGATCAATTCAAACAAGCTGCAAGACGGAGATCTTCAATTGAAGCCAGTGAATACAATTTCAGTAGACGCACTTCGCTTTACAACAATGGAATTTCAGGCAGTCGAAAAAGTGCTGCCAGTAATCATTCAACTAAGTCCTCGAGCTCCGAAGCAGGGAAAAACTCTTCTGCAGCCAATGGGTTGTTTCTCCACGGTAGACGAAACTCAATTTTGCAACAGGAGTTGTCGCAGTTTGAACTCGAAATCCGAGATGTTTTACCTGAAAGTGTCGAAGAAATTGACGAAGCTGAATTGGAATGCGAGTACGAGGAACATGGCGTGGAGAAACCCGGAGCATCGCCAGAAGCATCGCCTTACAAGGTCGGCAGAGCACAGTTCTACTCTTGTCAGAGACAATCGACTCTCGTCAAATCAGATCACCATGAGTTCCTTGTGGGGAAAAGTGATAAAAACTTCGAGTCGCATGGAACACAGCAACAGAGAAAAGGATCATTGAGAAGAGGAAGTTTGAGTTTGGGAATCAATGGCAGCACAATTGGTAAATGGGTCAAGTCAGGTCAGTGTTATAAGGCATGTTATTACAAACAAAATAAAAATCCACAAAACAAACGGTTTCTACCCTTTTAGCTCCACACAATTTCACCAACTGCCATTCAACTCTGTTTAGTCATTTAACATCACTACAACCTTGACTTTCGAGGTCTAAGGTCGCCGATGGGCGCGCTTCGCGGCAATAACCGACTCTAACTTTTTTAACCGGCTCTAAACCGAGTCTTACCCTCTGGACAGAGTATTACCCCCAAGCTCGCAGCACGTTCGCTAGACTGCGGCGGTTACAATTAACCAATAAAATAAAAATCTAATTTGGGGTTAAGGGATCAATACACCGCTATTACGCTTGAACTAATTATCAAAAAAATGAAAGGCTCTTCAATGAACGTATGTAATGTCCTCTCCTCTTTTATACTGCGACAACTTAAATCTTTGACTTTTTAGCGCATATCATAGCATATGTTTCTTATTTTTAGGAGTCTTCAGAAGTTCGCACGATGAGGATGATGAGAAATACTACTTAGTAAAAAGTGGTACCCTTGAACAGGTAGTTGAACAATGCCTGGCACCTCATCGCAAACTAGACGACCCATTTTTTAAAGATATCCTTTTAGAGCAATACTCGTTATTCACTGATAAACTAACGCTTTCGAATCAACTTCTATCGTCCGCTAAACGTCTTTTATCGACTAGTACAAAATCAAACTCATCTTGGAAAAAATCTCCCTCAGATTTAGAAGAGCAAGTAAAAGAAAACGCTAAAGCTATGATTCTGAAATGGAAGGAAAGCTTTTCCAAAGACTTCCAGGACTCCCAAGGTCTAGAAGTGCTTTCGACTCTTATCACGCTGAGTGCACTTATAAATTCGGTACACCTGAAGCATTCCTTAGAACGCCAGAAACGATTATTAGACGTTAAAGTCAAATGTTTCATTGACCCTCTAGAAACAAACCCCGAAACTAGCGGAATCAAGACAGCAACCCAGGCGTCAGATTCAACACCAACCCAGGCGTCAGATTCAACACCAACCCAGAGAAGCTTCTCGGCCGGAAACGATGCACACGTAAGGACTGTTTTACCCAGCAAACTGCAGTTGAATTTCATCCAACAGACTCCGGTTCTCAACTCGGCTCATGATTTCGATACTTGTCCCAAAAGCAGTCGAAATCGATTGAATTTCGACCAAGGCCAAGATCCTAGGTGAGTCATACAGCACCGTTATATTTAATTTAAGTTACGATTGCCATTGACGTCAATTTCATATTTACGCTGAATGGTACCGTTATAATCAATTCTTTGGGAAGAAGGGCGGACGTACTTAGGATCCCTTAATCCATTTACGCTGAAAAGGCTCATTTACGGGGAAAATTAGAAGACTACTTTTAACGAAACCCACGCATATTTCGAATAGCGTACGACTTTCATAAACTGATCAAACCATTAATTCCTTCTATTTTTGGATGCCAGTATGTCTGATTTTATATTTGGTGGTTTAATCATTCCTAATACCTCGCACAGGAACTTAATTGACGAACTAGGCCAGTTAGAGGGTCAAAACGTACATGTGCCGGCAACCTTTAGTAATTTAGGTCGATAAACTTTTTCGCCGCAAATTAGGCCAAAATTATCCCAAATTTGAATGATTTGCAAACAAATAAATAAACAACTTGTTAGTCTAACAGTCGCAACTCCTGTCATGTAATGCGAGAAAATTAGGTAACTAAGTCAAAACATTTCGGACTACAAAACAGTTCGGCTTTCAATTGTATCTGAAGGCGCTTCGAACAGCTTTCATACCACGCAGAAATTCTACGTGTGCAGATAAAGCAATATAAGCGAAAGTCTATATCTAGATAATAGCAGAGGGCAAACTTCTCAAAATCAAATGACCATTTCTAAGACCCAACGCTTTGCTTTGCCTTGCGTTTTATTTACCCAAACGCTTACTAGATCCTTTGAATACCAGAATGATCAGAAATGCATTTCCCATTTCAAGTTTGATCTCCAAAGCTAACATTTGTAACTAGTAGATAACATGTCATAACTTGTAAATTTTAACTTACTCCAACTATTATCTTATTTACAGGCAAGTGCAGAGTCTGGCTAACAGAACCAAAAAGCGCCCTCCTTTAAGAAGCCTGTCCAACTCTTCAGAGCTTCGAAACATAGGCTCAAGCAACAGCATGGGTTCCAGAAGCTACTACAACATCACACCTGAATCCCAACGCAAATCATTTTGTCCTTTTTCTCCAGAAGAAGTCGCGAAACAACTGACATTCAAATATTCCAATTATTTATTAGAAATGCAACCTTTTGAAATAGTGCAATACGCCCAGGGAGAGCTAAACGCAGACTCTCCTCTGATGAAAATTATACTCCTGAACAAAGAAATAGCGGAAAAGATTCCGTCTTCGATTCTCTCTGATAGACACCTCAAGTCAACTAAAATTGCACAGAGAATTGAATTTTGGCTGAAAGTAGCAGAGGAGCTGAAAGAACTGCGAAACTACGAGTGTCTTCAGATAGTCGTGCACTCTCTGAACTCGCCAATGTACGACAGCAACAGACTACCCGAAGTGTGGAGTTATGTAGAGAAATACTTACTATCACAGTTCGAACGACTCAAGGTAAGAACTGTTCGCGGAAATTAAATAACAATCGGTTGGTGTGCAATTAGCTCCAAGAACTCGGACCCTTAGAATTCCCCGTAGACCTATATACCCTTGGAGTAATACCAACGTAGAGAAAAAAATGAGAAAGAAGCTTGGAAAAGCGTTAATGAATTTAAGGCAACCAACCAACAAAAATGTTTTTGTTCTAAATATTTTGAAGGAAAAATATTAATATATGGATAGTTAAAATTGGGCAAGTTTTATCAGATTATCAAAAAGGTTATCAAATTTTTAGCCCTTTAATTTGGTTTTAACTATGCTATGAGACTCGGTGTTTCGAAATATATATATTTTTTGTTTCCTGGGCTTACTTCAATCACAACGACTGGAACCATTTAATCTAACTGAACGATTTGCTTTTCCATCATTTTTTTTTCTAGATATTGTATTTATATCTTATAATATAAGAAAAGAATTATGGAAAAGAAAATCGTTCAGTTAGATTAAATGGTTCTAGTCGTTGTGATTGCAGTAAGCCCAGGAAACAAAAAATATATATTTTTCGAAACACCGAGTCTCATAGCATAATTTAAACCCACATTAAAGTGCTAAAATTCGATAACCTTTTTGATATTTTGCCCAATTTTAACTATCCATACGAACTACTCTTAGTCAAACTTTGAGCCTCCGAATATTTGAGATTCATACACAAAAAGTAATTAATTTTTTTTTTGGAAACAGTCCAAAATTTATGGAGAGGAGATTGATTGATTTAATTTTGTTAAAACTGTTTAATGATTGACTTTTTTGATGGAGAAAATCAACTCCTCGGTAAAAAAAACATAGCCAACAGATAGTTGGAAAAGTAATTAACGCAGGGAAACAGCAAAAAACACTGCCTGTTTTTTTTTAAAGAATTTCAAAAAAAATATATATATATATGGCTTTAAGGCTCTTTGAATTTAAAAAACAATTTAAGATTGACACTTTTTTTTGATAAAATTACCCAATTTGAGATAACTGGATCGAGAGGTAATTTTTTTTCCGCTGAGATCTGAAAATTAAAATCTCCTTTCGAAACTAGAAGTCGATCACGTTTTTCGTGACCTTAACACTTGCTGTTCGATAATGGAGTTGGCATTTCTTTAAACAAAGGAAACGGACGAAACTTAAAAAGAAACCAAAAGTAAAACAGCGAGAAATTTATTTGAGCGTGAACAAATTTTCCTAAGTTTTCCTGAAAAAAAAGAGAAAAAAAACAAAAAATCTCCAAGACCTATAAAAAGTGTATTCACTACGTTCATGACTCTTAAAATCTCAGCAGAAGGCTTAAAGCAAAACCCCCAGAAGAAAAGTACCAAAAAATCACCGCTACGATACCAGATATATAAACCTCGGTGAATTTCATTTCAGGAAACAGTTTCAATAGAAGACAACTACCAGATTTTGAGAGAACTTCAAAAGAAAGAAGAAACAGAAGACGAAGGGCCTCAAACAAAGCCAAACGACCAGCGTAGATACTCCAATTCATTCAAGAAAGTATTGGCTCGAACTCTCAGCGGAAAACGACGCGAGAGTCGAGACTACATCGAAAAACACGGCTTCATTCCCTGCATGAATGTTATCAAAAAAGATATTTTGGGAATCTTAGCTGCTCACAAAATGGATAAAGATGTCGACGGCGTTATCCAATTTGCAATGCATAGAAAAATTCACCAACAGCTGCAACAAATCCGATTGGCCCAAAGATTGCTGAAAAGGTCTCTGCAATTGCAACATAGCGAGTACATCTGGAACTGGTTTTTAGATCTTTTCATTTTGGAAAAGGGCGAACGCGATTCAAATAGTGCATTTTTAAGCCGCCGATAGAATTCAAACAACAGTTTTGTAAGTGGTGCTAATTTATCAATCATAGTTTCTCCCATAAAATAATTTAATTTCTGCGAATAAAAGGAAACCGTTTTTCTCTCCATGTTTCGATTCTATGGTGAAAGAAATATTTCAAATGAAAAACGTCTAAAGAAATTGACAACTTGGACATAAAACACTTGTCTGATTTTTTCTGCAATTCCAGAACTTGAAGGATATTTTTCATCTGATTTATCACAAACCTCCTGTTTGCTCAAAAAAATCGTTTTTTTTAATGCTAGCGGTATTCAATTCAAGTAGACTGAGGTTTTGACAGCAACAAAACTTTGTTATAAAAAATCACGATTTAAGATAGCAAAAAAGTTTCCAAGTGTTTTCGAAATTTGTAAACCAACAATTTCAAGAACCAATATTACTATTTTACAAAATTTCTAACATACCGAGAAAAGCAAGATCTAACAAAACTTTCATATCTTTGTCTTGAAAGTAAAATTTAAAAAAATATTAAAAATAAGTTACGTTTGTATTGAAAAAAAGCGGTATTAAAGCGCCCAGTTTTTGAGCAGACACCTGATGAGGCAAAAATGTTCAATTAACCCCTGAAAAGACTCACTCGTAAGGAATATTGTTTCGCTCACCTAATGATGCAATATGATGCCACTAAGCCAATTAAGTATGTACCAAAAAAACTCAAAGTCGAGTGAACAAAAAAAACACACAATTATACCGAACCGGAGTTGGTAAATTAAAAATAAACAATAAAAAAAAAAAATTTTGAATACAATCATGTTATACGTAAAAAAAAAATCAGTGCGCATTATTTAACGGAGCAAAAAAATTGTAACAAAAAAGTAATAAACTTAAACTCCGCAAGAAATCTTGCTAACGTAATTACCTCTACCAACTGAGCTTTAGAAATGGCATCCAAAATTCAGGTAAACTGATACTCCAATTAAAAGTCCGCGCTACGGAAACTAAGCTGACAAAAAAACAGACGGACGATATCACCAAATAGCAAAATGTCTAATTTGAAAAAAAAACAGGCCCCATTCGAGCCAAAAGCTTTTGAACTATCAACCAGGTAAGTCACCTCTATCCAAGATGCGCTGGGTGGTTGATTGATTTTAAATTAAGTGTGAAGCAAACAAAGATCTGCAAAATTTTGTGAACAATTTTTTTTTACCGAGAAAAACTCAAGTACCCGGTTTGTAACGCTCATCGCAAGAGCAATAAAACTAATTAATCAAACCAATCTAAGCAAGCTAAACAATGAACAGATCATACCGAAGAAAAACGCAGTTGAAAAACTAGGTGAAACACAATTTTCGTATGTTTCGAAGAATGACACCTAGGGCCCAGCTAAAGCTGGAGCTACGCGTTTGATATTTCTCGCGATATTATACTGATGCGGAACGAAATTCGTTATTTCAAAAATTGGAACTTAGTCATAAACTGTTGTTGTTTCTCTAATGAAATAAAAGAAGAATAAAAATATTCAAGATTTTGGAATACTTTTAAAGACGTAACCTGTCTCTTACGAAAAATGAATGTAACTGTGCCAGTCGGTCATATCTGGAAGTTTGACCTTGAGGGACATGAAAATACGTGATTTTGGAGTGAAGTTTTTATTTTCAAAATTTCGAATGGAGCCTGTCATGCTGTTTTCTCGCACCAACTGAAAACACAAAAAGTGAAGAATCAGAACGACCGATTTACAATCGCGGGAAAGTGCTTGAATAGAACAGCGGGAAATTGCTATTCGCAATTTCCAGATACAAAATAAGACACGAGTAGAGCTGTCTTATCCCGAAAAAGGAGGAGAGATAATAAAAAGAAGAGAGAACAACTATTCGGAACAAACCAGAGTGAACCTTCAATGGAAGGATGGACAGCTTGAGTGTCCCAAAAACTCAAATTCTAGAGTCAGAATTTACTTCTGTTACCAAAACTCACCAGTATTAAACTTATCTAGTTATATTATCTAATTCTCGAGTTGCTTACCAATTTAATTACTCCTTGTACTCGAGTGCATCAACATGTGAGTCCCTAATTTAATTTTCTCGAGTGTGTTTTATGATCGTTATGTTGAGATAAGGCGAGTTTTAGGTTGATCCATCTGAAATGGATCAAAGTTCCACTGTCCAATACAAAGTAACTTAACGGATTGTTCCGACCCTGTTTTTAACGGCTTTCGTGTATTTTGGGTATTTTGAGACCTAAGTATAGGAACGTTCTTATTTTCTAGAGTGGGGGATATTTTGGTAGTAGCCTTTAAGCTGTAACGGGTTCTAGTCTCATGTCGCAAGCGAACCGAATTGGCTCCGACTGTTCTTGAGGTAGAAAAACACAAGAGATAGTTTCCCTGACTCTTGAGCCAATGGTTATAGGGCCTATTTTTCTTAAGCCTCTTATGTTACTGAAGTAGGCGACTGTTACATAGTGTTTTTATGGCGCTCCTGGGTGTTTTTACGACATCATGACTACGGATTCGAACCCACTTGACACAGCTCCGGGCTGCATGCCCATTCTAGAGTACCGGTGGTACGGTTCAGCGGGAACGTGTAAACCTTCCGGTTGTACCGTGATAGCTTTTTAAGAAAACTTGAGAAAACTTCCTGGTACGCTCTCCGAACGAGGCCTAGCTAACCGAGTAAAGGGGGCAACTAGGGAAACAAAAACAAAAAAAAAGTATAGAAAAAGGAACAAAAACCATAAAAGTAAAAGACAGTGACTTTGATACCGGACCATTTGGATCAAACCTCTATATTAATTAAATAGTATACCCATACTGTTTTATAAGACCGATCGTTTCGATCAATCTAGCAATTTAAACCAGTGACTTCAATAAGGTGCCCTAGTGGGGGGCGTTGTTAAGGGATTTCAGATAGATTGCAACCTAGCCGGACCACTAGGAGACTTGACTGGAAGAGGTGACCGATCGAGTGGGAAAGTGGTTCACAAGGATCGAACCGGACCACTAGGAGACTTGACTGAAAAGGTGACCAGCCGAGTGGGAAAGTGGTTCAGAAGTACTGAGCTGAACCCACTGGAAACTTGACTGGAAGAGGTGACCAGCCAAGTGGGAAAGTGGTGCTGCTGTCAAGTGCAGAACAAAGACAACCAGCACAGGATCACTACAAGAGGACGCACAGGGTTGTTCTCAAGTTGGGCAGCGGGTATCGTTAGAATCCACATTACATTATAGGAGATAAGTGTAAAATTGGATAAGCGGAGCCCCGTTGTTTTGAGGAAGTTTTTGCACAAGCAGGCCTGGAAACAGGTCTACGGTTTTCTCTCGAGAGGTTTAGCACCCGGCGCTTAAGGGATTTTTTGGCTTAAGAGGGGGGCTAAAGAGGGGGGAGGTTAGCAGGGGAGCTGGTTAAGTTAGAGGTTAGCGGTTGTAAATTGTAAAAAGGGGGGACACGTTAGAGTAACTAATTGTTCGGCATCGTCGATTTAGTTACATTTGATATTCACACGCGTTGGTTATAAGAAGCGGATATCCAAAATTAAACCCATGTTAAGGTAGGTACCCTGGTCGGATCGGTAGGGGGGAACGGACATAGACAGTTTTTGTGATACCCCATAAGATCGCTAGCAGGGGGGAGGAAAACGCGTGGCAATCGGGTACCACACATTTTTCGGTCAACCTTGAATTTCAGGAGAATTCATCCATCTGTTTTTGAAATTTTTCCAGTTTAAATTTTCACGTTTTGGTGAAAATTTTCTGTTGGTATTTTAACGAACAGGTGATCACAAGATACCTGCGGGGAATTTAGGGTTTCAAATACAGGGGGATCAGTATTTGGGTTTTGACCAGTAAGATAGGGATTTTGGGAAGTGGTGGTAAAAAGTACAGTGGTTCAACAGTCCCTACAACGAAGAAGAAGAGACCCGACATCCAGACACTCAGTGACGAGTCTTGGGACAGTACCGAAGAACTCTTGGGACATTGCAGTCTGGGGACAGTCTTGGAGCAACACGGTCTTGGGACAGTCTCGGGACAGAGCAGTCTTGGGACAGTCTTGGGACAGTGCAGCCTTGGGACAGTCTTGGACCAGAGCAGTCTTGGTACTAAACAGTCTTGGGACAGTGGTCTTGGGACATTGGTCTTGGGTGGGTGGTCTTGGGACATTGGTCTTGGGACAGTGGTCGTGGGACATTGGTCTTGGGACATTGGTCTTGGGACAGTGGTCATGGGACATTGGTCTTGGGACAGTGGTCTTGGGACATTGGTCTTGGGCCATTGGTCTTGGGACAGTGGTCTTGGGACATTGGTCTTGGGACAGTGGTCTTGGGACATTGGTCTTGGGCCATTGGTCTTGGGACAGTGGTCTTGGGACAGTGGTCTTGGGACATTGGTCTTGGGCCATTGGTCTTGGGACAGTGGTCTTGGGACATTAGTCTTGGGACACTAGTCTTGGGACATTGGTCTTGGGACAGTGGTCTTGGGACATCAGTCATGGGACACTAGTCTGGGGACTTTGGTCTTGGGACATTAGTCTTGGGACACTAACAAGAAGTACTGGGACAGCACTGAATAGTCTTGAGACGGTAGAGAGAAAGTTTTGGAACAGCATAAAGAAGAGGAGGGATACTAAAAGAGTACTAAGTCAGGGTGAAGTAACCAATTGTAAAATCAAATTCTCTATCCAATCCTAACATATAGAATTTTCAAGAGCTTTGTAAAAGTTGTTTTTAACAAATTGTCAATTTCTTTTTATAAAATTTTGTCAAAAGAGGTTTTAATCTTAGAGTCGAATTTTGTAGATAGTAATACTGTAAATAGGAACAATTGTAAATAATGAGGTGGAGCAGGGTACCGGTAGCTGAAAAAAGATCTACCGAGGCGAGAACACAGTATAATTCGTCGCTACGTAAAACAACATCAATGGGTCCGAAGGTAACAATAAAGAACTTTTCAGTTAATATGGTCAACACGAGGAGTACTACGGAGAACAGAGCAAAGGAGGGCACGGAAGGGGAACGAGTAGAACCCACCATCGAGGTTGATCTAGAGACACCGGATCAAAGTGTGGATGAAGTGGGAAAGAAAACGACAGAGTCAACTCCGATGCCCAATGCGGAAGAGCCTAA